ATTAATTGGCATAATTTTAGTAAAAAAATTCGGAGATTAATTGACGTTTTTCTATTTTTAAACATTGTATTCTTGTTATCTCAGATTTCCCCCCCCCCCGCAAAATACGAAAAATTGAAGAGAGTTATAGAGACATAAATGTCATCCGTCGAAGAACTCATTTTAAAGGGAAAAGTCATGTTCAAACAGACTTAATGTCAAATGTGAAATGCACATACCGATCAACATCATAAAACGCTGCGAGCGCATCCCATTCATTAAACTTACACAATGTAGTAGTAATTAATAAATTCAAAACTTTACTTATGAATATGGCCTGATTTGCAAAATCAATGGCGAAACGTGTTACGGTAGCTCCCTCCCCTTCTCGTCTAATTCTTTCGATGCAAATTACATTTCACATGAAGTACATTTCACGTAAAGTATTTCTTGAAGTAGTCTCATAATATATTATTTTTCATTCAAAGTTAATAAAATAAAAATGGCTTTTTCACTTATTTGTATGTTTTGTTTTCATAGTTTAAGTTTGGTGTATATTGCGTAAAATGTACGCTTACAGATTTTAAGCCAGAATCGTGTTTATTTTGAAAGAAATTTGGGGAGGGGGAGATTTAAAGCCTAAACAATTGTTGGTATGCTAATTGCAAACTTTAATTAACTTAGAGAGATATGACCGTTTATCGTTCAATAATCAAATACATGAATAAAATGCAGAATTATAAAGTTCAGTTTATTTTCATCATGGTAACTGTATAATTCTTTCTTCTGATGAATTCTGCTTCTAATTTTATGTTTTTAGAAGTTAGAACTGGAAAAAAGACAAAATTTAGCGTATTTTTATGTAAAGTAGGAAAATTCGAAGGTTCCCTTGAAAGTGAAGAATCGGGGCACGAGCCTCTTTTGCCCTTGCGGAAATGCCATGCTTGTAAAATGGTTATATCCATTTCCAGATTTTCCCATTTGAGGCTGTTTTAAAAATAGTCTGATTTCAGCCTTTCTGTTCAGGGTCAACGTTAAATCGAAAAAGTGACTGAAAGTCAAGTGACTGTGAAATATGTGTGAAGTGACGTCTCGGTGTGCCTTTTAAATTTTGACATTAATGTTTTATCTAAATTCAGGTAATGTTTAGATAACGCATTAATGTCACATAGTACTGTAGACATATAATATAGTAAACATGATATTTTTTTAATAAATTGATTTACAATTCAGCGTTGTTATTAGCTTGTTGTTGCTACATCAATTTCTAAAAAATACTCCTGATTAAAATTTTTGAGAAGCGATTTTAAATGAAAGCGGAAGTTCAGAACTTTTAAGGCTTGGACTAACATTATATCTAAATTAAAAATTTAATACTTTAAAGAACAAAGTTTTCTGATAAAACAGGTTCATTATCTGAATAAGTTTTGAATTATGTGTGTGCCGTCGTAGAAAAGAATGTTAAACGATCAGTGGCGCAGCATCCAGGAGACACCAAACTGATGTTAAGAACATTTAGAATTAAATATTTAAAATTTTTGCACGCAGAAGGGGGTGCAAAATCTTCAGTTGTCCCCGGACGCTGTAAACCTGTAAGCTACGCCTCTGCAAACGATATAGTACATTTTTTGTTTTCTTCATTCATCTGGAAAACCTTCAACTTTTGCGTTCTTTCTCACACTTAAACCATAAAATTCAGTTCAACAGCAATATCGCAAAAAATTTTAAAATAAGCATATCTTTAGCATTTCGAATACACGATCTCGCGCGCTGGAGAAATTTTTTTTCCCGTATAGTGTTGCCATTTCTCGCTTTGAAATCGTTGAATTTGTTAATCAGAAATTCGTTAAAAGTTACAATATATGAAATCGATAATAAAAGAAATTCCAAATTAGGATTTCCAGAGGCCCATACTCGATGGAGGATTATGTTATTCAAAACTGTATGGCTCTAGGTACCGTTGTTTTATTACTCAATGCTAGAAACACACATTTATGCAGATTCTTCGTTACTTAATTTCTTTAAGTATAACACAGGGCGATAATATTTGGTGGCAACAATTTGAAAAGTGAAACGGACATTTAAAGTTTGCGACGCAAAATTCCAAAACGAAATTAATAACCCTTCTGAGTTAAAAATATGATAATACTACCGTTTATAACTTATAATTTAAAATAATATGGCTTTATTTGATACTAGACGGATTTAAGATATCAAAATCTATTTTAAATAATAATTATAAGATTTTAATGAATATTATTGGTAAATGTAATTTAAATATATTTTGCTAGTTAGGTCAAATTATATGTTTGCAGAAATATCTTGTACAGTTTTAAGAATGGCAAGATTTTAATTTAAATTGTTTCAACAAAGAAATAATATGGCTGTTCTAAAAATATTAAATAAAAACATGAAACGATAAATAAATAATAAGTATATCAATTAAATTCTAAAACATAAAACTGTGAAAGTGAAAACAGATTATAAACCATTTACACATATTAGAATTTTAATAATAACCAATTATAACAATGAAAAAGCCTATAATAAATGAAGGTCACTAAGAAATGCAGATATATACATGATATTTAATGAATCTAGCTAGTGTCATTTTACATTTCCAGCTTGTAATTATAGCTGAAATTAATCTGCATTTATTGCTTTTAAATAGCTTACTTTTATAGTTAATAACAGAAAAAATTTGATATTTTTTTTTTAAATCTGAAAAGTTTCAGATTTTAAATTACGTCCAAAGGGGCGTTTTTTCAACATTTTGTATGTTACCTCTATTTATTAAATACAGTCAAAAGTCGTTAATTCGGACACCCATAATCCGGAATGATCTATAATCCGGACCTCAAAGCTACAAACTTTCTGCGCATGCGTCGCGTTGACGCATGCGCATAGGCGTTTACGCGTGCGCGTAAGACCTTTACGGCTGCGAATATGCGTGTGCGCATGCGCATAATACGTTTACGCATGCGCGTTTAATGTATAACGGACGGTATAAGCTAGGCTAAAATTATATAATTCAGTTAATGTTGCAGATTGCGTTGCTCCTTGATCTTCGAATTGGATCCGGCTTATTATTTTTTTGCAGACTGTTAGAGCAATTTTATAAAAGTAAGCTTGAACTTTCGATTATGTCAAATAGAATTTCCGATATATATTTACTAATATGTAAAGGATCTACAAAGCAAAAGTATGTTTCGAAGTCCATTAAACAAAAAGTGGAATTGCTGCAAAAAATGGATAAAGGCATATCCTTTGATTATCTAACCATTCCGAAATATGTTTATCAATTTCACGCTGCTCTGCGGGGGGAAGGGAAACGACGCAGCGCCCAATGAATTGGAAGTTGATCTGTCAGCACTATCCTTATCTTCAGGGCAGATGTTTTTATTTTATTTGGCTTATAATTCCATACTAAATGTAGTATTTCATCTCGATGTACTCCGTCTTTGATATGATTTAAATAAAGTTCTTCGTCATTAAAATTCGCTTCCGATAGTGAAGAAAGTGACACAGTGTTTATTGAAAACGAAAAAATTTCGATTGACAAATTAGTCGGTATTCTCGACACAGCAATTATAGGACTTGAACAGCGGAACTTTGTAACTAAACAAGAAATTATGTCTGTTTAATAGAATTAAAGAGAAAGTATTATCACATGAAACGAAGCAACTTAAACAACTTACATTGAAAGAAATGTTTAATAAAGTAAACAAATAAATATTAAGCTTTTTCTTTTTTGTAAATTTTGATACCCTTTAGATCATAATTGTTCTTTATTTCATAAATTACGGTTTCATATTTTTAATTTTATAATTTCTGCATGCCATCTTACCAGATTTAAACTGATGATCTATAATCCGGAAAAATCGATAATCCGGAATCGCCGAAGTCCCGACGAGTCCGGATTAACGACTTTTGACTGTATCATGTTCTTCACACTTAAACCAAAAAATTCAATTCAAGAGCAATATCGCGAAATAAATTTAAATTCAGCATATCTTTAGAAATTCCGATATGCAGTCTCACGCGCTGAAGATAAAAATGTTTTTCTGTACGACTTTGCCATTGCTCGCTTTGAAATCGTTTAGTTTTTTAATCAAAATTCGTTGAAGTGTTGGAAAATATGAAATCGATAACAAAACAAATTTCGACTTTAAATTAGGGCTTCCTCATGCCCATATTCTATGGAAAATTACGTTAGTCAAATTTTGATGGTTCTAGGTATGGTTGTTTTATCACAATGCGAGAAACATACATACATTTATGCAGATTCTTCATTATTTAATTTCTTCAAATATAATACAGGGCGATAGTATTAGGTGGCAACAGTTTGAAAAGTGAAAGGGACATTCAGAGTGATTTGCCGCAAAATCGCAAAACGAAAACAATAGTCCCTCAGGGACACAGCCCCTTTGGACTAAAAATTTAAAAACATAACAATTTGCTGAATGATAACACACTTAAAAATATTTTTATTTGAGCAGTTGCAACGCATTTCTCTAATATCACTGATTTTTTAATCAAAATTTCGTTAAATTAATGTAAAATTTATGTATACAAAGAGTACCTTTAAAGTTAAAAATTCAGCTGTATTTTTTTAAATATCCATGATGTAACTTTCTGTTGAGAGAAAAATTCAAACAGATACTGCAATTTAAACAGTATTCCTAAAATAACACTTATGTATCTGATGAAATCTTTTATGCTACAGCTGAACAGTTGGCCTGCATTAAATCAGGAGATTTGAGTGGGCAAAGTCACATCTGAGATGCCAATATGTGAAATGGAAAGTAAGGTCTAAAAAAAGGAAGAGATTTATTGAAATCTTAGTTACATTATTCAAGAAGTGTTATTTTTTTATAAATGATTCCTGAATTTGGTCATTATTTCGGTAATTTTTATTGCAGCTTTAAAATAAAAGATACGTTGGTTTGTGAGTGTTTTTTCCCCCTTTTTTAATAAAAGAATTCTAGATTTGTTCATCACTCTGGTAATTTTTATTACAGCTTTATGACTGCCGAAATCACATAAGAGTGATACAACCCATTGGCGATGGAAGCAAACTTTATCTTTGTGGTACCAATGCTCATAATCCTCGAGATTTAGTAATCTATGTAAGTAATTTTTATTTAATTATGCAATTATTTAATTTTTATTAAAGTTATATGGTTTTTATTAATTTATGTTTAGTTTATTTTTTGTTCTGCTTTTTTTTTTCTTTCAGCAGATGGTAAAATATATATTGGCATGTTATTACATTGAAATTCAAATTCATAACTTCTATTCCATAATTTAAGACATCTGTTAGTTTGCAAATAATTCACAAGAATTTGTGTTTCTTTTTTTAAAATACTGAGAAAAAAAATATATCTGTACAAATTTCCTTGGAATGTAGTAATTGTAACAGAATTTTAAATTGCTATAATTTTTCTGTGTTTTAATGTATTACTAAAGAAAAGAAGTATATTTTAATGAATTAAATTACTAAATAATTCAGTTATTTTATTAGTAATGAATTAAATACAGCAACTAACTGAATATTTAATTAATAAGTAATTAAACATGTAGTGAGGTTAGTTATTAATTAAAATTTTAAATGTTACTAATTAAAATATTTTAAATAAGGATAGTTGTAATAATTAATAATTCTAATGAAATTTTGAACTGGGGCAATCATTTTAGGTTTTTATAGCATTTTTTAAAAAGAAGAGGATTTTTTTAATTATTTATTTAGGTACTCTATCAGCAGTATATGAAATGCTGGCATTCTATAGAATACCTAGGCATTTTATGGAATTGGTGTTTTTAGGCAAGTTTGAAATACGAAAATTATTATATACTTTCTTTAGGCATTCTATAGAATGCCAATTGCTATTTAGATAAAGTATGAAAAATAGTCATGATGAGTCTGTAAAAAACATGCATTCCTCAAAAATGCAAATATGTATTTTTTTTATAAAATAATGAAAGGCATTTTATGTCATTAAAAAGTAACAGTGGTAACTGGCAATCATTAAAAAACTTTTATTCAAAATGCATGAAGAAAAATTAAAGTTATTAAAAACAAAATTTTTGCCTGTCTTCTTAAAGAAAACAATGTATGAAAATGTTTGAAATATGTATTGAATTGTGGAAGGAATGTATTAAATACATGGATTATGTTTAGATTATTATGAAAGTATCAAATGTATTTATATTTAAAGTAAATTGAAGATATTGTTGAATGTTAATCATTTCATGCATTGCTGACCAGTTTTCAGCATTCTGTCAAGTGCCTAGGTATTTTATAGAATGCTGGCTTTCATACATTGCTGTTAACAACTCTAAGAAACTTCTTCAGCTTTCATATGGACAATAGTATCATTTCCGTGAAAGAAAATTGAAATAGGGGAAAGTGTTTTGTTTATATAAACCAATATATTTGCTATATAAAAAGTTTAGTTTTCTATGCAAGTCATAGTGGTAACTGGCTATAGGTAAAAATTTGAAACGCTGTACTTTTGTCAGCTAGCATTGAACCACATATTGTAATTGCTATGTGTGCAGATCCTTAAAAAAAAAAGGTTGGTTGTAGATGCAAGATTCTAGTTTAAGAAAGGAATCTCTGATTGTGAAAATTTTGGACATGTAAAGCTGTATGAAATAAAAATTTTTGGCATTTACAAACTATTCCATCGAATACAGGCCTTAAATGAAGAAAGTTCCTATTTGTAACTGATTTCATAATCCATTAAAAAATTTTTACGGAGCAAAAAAAGTGTACATATTAAATCTATGTAAAGTATTTTCATAAAATTACTTTAAAAAACCACCACCCAGATCTTATAGTGGTTAGAAGAGCCAAATGCAATACCAAAAGGCCCGGGTTTGAATCTCGGACAAGGTATGGTTATAACAGTCCCTCCCTTCATAGGAGGGAAAGGTGGCCCACCTATTAGGTGCATCCATAATAAAGTGACCACTACTTCTGGCCTCAGTAGTGGCCAAGCCAAAATCAGCTGAAGGCCCGACATTAGAGAGGGAGGACTTTGAAAAACCCATAGAAATGTTATGAAGGCAACAAATACATGTATAAATAGGAGAATACCGTATTTGACGGCATATAAGATGCACCCTTATTTAGACGGACACACACAAGGAAAAAAAGTTTCTATAGAGTGGTTTCTTTTAGTTCTCACGTTTCGTAAAAGCCAAATAAACAAATTATTGAATGCAATTACCTCCACGTATAAGACGCAGGTAACTTTTTTGAGACCAAATTTAGGGAAAAAAAGTGCATCTTATATGCCAATTCAGAAGTCAAACAACAAAAATCAGCGTTATACCTACAAAATTTTCACAGGACTAGTTTCGATGGTTTTACCGAACCATCATCTTCAGCTGCAAAACCGCAAATGAACAAGATAGGAAATAATGATTAGATAAGATAAGAAAGCCTGGACAAGAATAAGCAAGTGGCGCCATCTGTTGGCGAAGCCAGAACTAAAACATAATTTCTCTAAAAGCCGAAGGCAAATTTGGATTGGAATTAGGATCGTTAACTAGAACAGAAAGATTTTTATGAATGTGAAATGCCTCTAGAAAATCCAGTTCTCCAATGGAAGATGTTTTTTGAATAATTTTGGCAGCAGAAAAATTGAAAGTGTGATTTTCGGACAAACAATGTGGAGCAACAACAGAAGACCTCTGTGTTTCCTTTTTTCTAACATATGCCTCATGTTCTTTGACGCGAAATTTTAAGGCTCTCTTAGTTTGGCCAATGTAAATTAAACCACACTGGCAAGGAATCCTATAAATACCCCAGGAATTCATATCCGGAATGGGGTCCTTGAGTATAGAAGTTGGAATTTTATTGATGGGAGAAAAAAAAAAAACAACCCGAAAGTTAAATTTCTGCAAAATATGTGCAACTTTATAGCTAATTGATGGAAAGAAGGGAATGACAACAGAATTTTTATAATCTCCTAAAATAAGAGTGTAGCTTTTAGTGTGTTGAGATGAGAATTTTTTAACTGCTTGATTAATAATGTTGGGTGAAAAGCCCCTGTCAATAGCTATTGCTTTTAAATAATTTAGTTCTTCATCAAGGGCTAGTTTGGAGGAGCAAACTTGAAGAGCACGGAAAACATAGGAATAAAATGAAGCTAACTTTTGTTTAGTCGGATGACATGATTTAAAGTGTGGTGGAAGGCAAAACGAGGAAGGTTTATGGTAAACTGTAGTACTGAAGTTGGATGTGTTACGTGTGACCAGAATGTCGAGAAACGGAAGAGAATTGCAAGTCTCAAGTTCAAAAGTGAACTGAATAGCAGGATCATAGAATTCATTGTTGAAAGAACTTTATTTAATCATCTTTATTACCTTCAAACAGGGTAAAAGTATCGTCTACGTAGCGGAAAACATGCCGGGAAGTTGTTTAAAGTTTCAACAATTTTGATTCATAATAATGCATGTAGATATCAGCCAGGATGGGACTGAGGGGACTTCCCATGGCTAATCCCTCAGTTTGCTTGTAATATTTATTTTGGAAAACAAAATGTGTTTGTTTCAAACAGAGTGAGTGAGAGAAATTAGCTCATCAATTTCGATGCAAGAGAAATGAAATTCGCGAAGTCTGGTTTCTAGACATCTTAATGCACCCTCCACTGGGACATTGGTGAATAATGATTTTTACATCAAAAGAAACCATGAGTAAATTACTAAGAGAAATGTTTTAAACCTTTTTACAAACTCTATTGAATTTTTTATGGTGTAAATGTTATTGTCTAATAGAGTGGAGACGAAGGACCATATAATCCGATCCTAAAGATCCTTCACCTTCGGACTTATCCAAAATAAAAAACTGCGATCAAATCTTCGCAAATCATTTCAAGCAACTTAAAAACATTCGCTATCCCATCTGTTGGAATTGTGCCAGATTATCTGCTTTTCCCAAAATTCAAAAAGTGGTATCCTTTCCGCCTCAAATTTAGGATACTGTCTCTATCCATTAGCTAAATATTTAGTTTCTAGATTTTCAACTCTATTAGACAATAACATTTACACCATAAAAAATTCAATAGAGAATTGTTTAAAAAAGGTTAAAAACATTTCTCTTAGTAATTTACTCATGGTTCTTTTGATGTAAAATCATTATTCACCAATGTCCCAGTGGAGGGTGCATTAAGAGTCTAGAAACCAGACTTCGCGAATTTCATTTCTCTTGCATCGAAATTGATGAGCTAATTTCTCTCACTCAACTCTGTTTGAAACAAAACACATTTGTTTTCCAAAATAAATATTACAAGCAAACTGAGGGATTAGCCATGGGAAGTCCCTTCAGTCCCATCCTGGCTGATATCTACATGCATTATTATGAATCAAATTGTTTGAAACTTTAAACTTCCGGCATGGTTCCGCTACGTAGACGATACTTTTACCCTGTTTGAAGGTAATAAAGATGATTTAAATAAAGTTCTTTCAAAATGAATTCTATTGATCTGCTATTCAGTTCACTTTTGAACTTGAGACTTGCAATTCCTCTTCCGTTTCTCGACATTCGGTCACACGTAACACATCCAACTTCAGTACTCAGTTTACCGTAAACCTTCATCGGTTTGCCTTCCACCACACTTTAAATCATGTCAATCCGACTAAACAAAAGTTAGCTTCATTTTATTCCTATGTTTTCCGTGCTCTTCAAGTTTGCTCCTCCAAACTAGCCCTTGATGAAGAACTAAATTATTTAAAAGCAATAGCTATTGACAGGGGCTTTTCACCCAACATTATTAATCAAGCAGTTAAAAAATTCTCATCTCAGGCACACTAAAAGCCACACTCTTATTTTAGAGATTATAAAAATTCTGTTGTCATTCCTTCTTTCCATCAATTAGCTATAAAGTTGCACATATTTTGCAGAAATTTAACTTTCGGGTTGTTTTTCTCCCATCAATAAAATTCCAACTTCTATACTCAAGGACCCCCATTCCGGATATGAATTCCTGGGGTATTTATAGGATTCCTTGCCAGTGTGGTTTAATTTACATTGGCCAAACTAAGAGAGCCTTAAAATTTCACGTCAAAGAACATGAGGCATATGTTAGAAAAAAGGAAACACAGAGGTCTTCTGTTGCTCAACATTGTTGGTCCGAAAATCACACTTTCAATTTTCTGCTGCCAAAATTATTCAAAAAACATCTTTCCATTGGAGAACTGGATTTTTCTAGAGGCATTTCACATTCATAAAAATCTTTCTGTTCTAGTTACGATCCTAATTCCAATCCAAATTTGCCTTCGGCTTTTAGAGAAATTATGTTTTAGTTCTGGTTTCGCCAACAGATGGCACCACTTGCTTATTCTTGTCCAGGCTTTCTTATCTTATCTAATCATTATTTCCTATCTTGTTCATTTGCGGTTTTGCAGCTGAAGATGATGGTTCGGTAAAACCATCCAAACTAGTCCTGTGAAAATTTTGTAGGTATAACGCTGATTTTTGTTGTTTGACTTCTGAATTAGTATTTATTCGGCGTGTTATTGTGTCTTATCTTATATGCCGTCAAATACGGTAAGTATTTGAAACAAGAGAATTAGAAAAAAATAATTGTATCTTTTATTCACACAACATGTATAATTATTCATAGTGCTAATGTTTATTATTATATTTAAAAGGGAAATCTCAGCTTCTTAGCTCCGAATGAGAACTTTCCGGGAATTGGTGATGGTATTGCCAAGTGTCCTTTTGATCCTGACGATAATGCCACTGCTGTTTGGGTTGGTAAGTATTATATTTAATAGCATAATATTAAATAATAATGTATGCAATTCTATTTTTTCACAGTAAATAAGTTATCTCTTAAATGAGTAAAGGAAAACTGTGAGAAACAAAATACATTATATATGGGGGAAAAAAGAAAAGTATCATTCCAAGCATAAGAAGAGCATTACAATTTATTTTATTTTTAACTTAATTTTATTTTAAAAATTTCTAAAGATACATAAAGTAAGTTACATACTTGAGCATACATAAAGGAAGTTATTCTTTGTAAAGCAAATATGCTAACTAATCCAAGACTAGTAAAGTTCTTTTCTTGTCTTTTTTTTAAAACAAGTCTGTGGTAGTTTATTTACTATATTCCCCTTCCCCCTCTGCAGTGGGTATATTCATTTAATTAGCCTTCTGAGTGCTGCAGCTTTTTGGATCTGTTCATGGAGACTTCTATTTAAACAGCTTCTATTAAATAAATTTGTAAAACTATTTATTTTAGTTTACAATTTCATAAATTTCCTTTCCATAAGAGGTTATTTACATTATTTATAAAAATCTGATGTGCACACTACGACTTCCTTCTAAAGCCAGTGGCGTAGCTAGGGTGGGGCAAGAGAAGATATATGTCCCTGGGCGCAGCATCCAAGAGGTGACAAATTGATGCTACGAAATTTTTTAATAAAATGTTTTCCATTCTTAGCGCACAGAAGGGGTGCAAATTCTTTAGTTGTCCCCCGTCACTGGAAACTCTAGTTACGCCCGTCTACAGCTTATTAAATTATGCTAATTTTTTTGCTGCACTTCATTTAAACTTATTTCCTAGAATTATTCTAACTTAATTAACCAAGTTCTAAAGGCAAATAAGATCAAAAAATTCAAATTTTGAAACTAGCATTAAAAACTGCTAATTTTGAAATTAAATATCCTGGTTAATTTTGTCATATGGGAGATCAAGCTTCTTGTATTTCTATTTTTTCATAACAAGTATGAAACTTTGCTACATATAAGTATATGAACCAGAAGAGCTCATTAAAATTTATTTCATTATTTGTACAAATTTTTTTTTTTAAGTATAAAATTCCTAAAATATGAATATTTTCATGATTTAAAAACTTCTGTAATTGGAAGTATATGTCGACAATTGGGAAAATAAAGGCCGGTAAGGGGGTACATAATTTTCCAATTTTATTAGTATATATATATACACTTTTATTAATGCTGACTGCTATAAAAAAGTGAGGTGCTCAACTGAATATTACAACAATATCATATACAAAAGTTCATCGTTGTGTGAGTAATTGTTTTCGTGTTATACTAGGTACATATGTATCTATAGACATTGCAGAAAAATTAATTTTGAATCTATTTTACAATTTCTTTTGGAATAAAGAGTCCTTTGTTTTGTCCTCATATACAGATTTACACACACACACAATGGAATCAGGAATGGTTAAAAATGATATTTTCATTGAAATCTCAGGACCAAATATTTTTATGATATGTCTACTTCATGTAAGGAAATAAAAGGAATAAAAGAAAATATTTTAAATTATAATGTATTGTATAACGAATAACAAAAAAAAAAGTCTGGTCGCCTGGGTGTTTTTCATGTGTGGTATGAATACAAGCTAGTTTCCCATAGAAAGTCTTTCATGAAGATATGTTTGCCTTTAGACAGAAAGCCATGATATGCTTTGCCATTTCCAAATACCCTAATCTAACCTTAAGTCAAATTCTATTTACCATTAGTAGGGGGAAAAAAATTAAAGGCTTATTGACCAGGTTCCGTTCCTCAAATATTCATTTTTTGACGATAGAAGTATTAATTTAATTAGAGATAAGTTAAATTACTTTGACCACCATTATTTACCTCTGAAAGTGTGAGATTTTTCCTAAAGGGTACGAGTACCTTTCTGTAGGCTGCTCAGCATATGTGAAGAGGTGTTAATCTTTATAACAGTACCACAGCATGTAGGCAGCAATTAGTGAATAGTAAAAAATATTTTAATAATCGATATTAATTTAAAGCATATCTATCATAACTCTGATGATTAAAAAATTATTTTCCTTTATTTTTAATAATATGGAATTCTATTGCTTCGCCGTCAACCCTTAAAAAAGAAGGTTTATCTAGGAAAGTTCTCTCTCTCACTTTGATCTGTCATACTAGTAAAATCTAGAGTGTTTTTCGGAACTTGTAGTATGGGATTGTAATGGAATTTGATTGTGCTCTGAAATCAACAAATTCCTAGTTTCATGGTTTATAAAATGGTGTTTTACATTTTTGCATTATTCACATACATATTCCTTTTCTCATGCCATTTTTGTGTATTAGTGTAAAGTGACTACACATCCCGATTTTGGCGGGACAGTCCTGCTTTTCGGAGAACTATCCCGCATCCCGCCGATTTTTTAGAATGTTCCGCTTTTTAGAAAACACCTGCATTTCTTATTTTAAATATACTGTAAAAATATACTACCTATTATTTATTAATTATTATAGTGAATATAAAGAAATAAAAAAAAACATAAACTGCATGCAGAGTAAACTAAATTAGGCGATGTATTGAGTTAGATTTACTCGGTGGTGTTCGATTATTGTCGTTACGTCTCGTCAAGGAATACGTATTGTTAACAGAGAAACAGCTAGCATTAGCTGAAAGGCTATTTCCTTTAAATCATAATCAAAGTTTCAGATCAATTGATTGTGCGTCGCAAATGATCAAAACATTGTATGACAGAAAATTTGCACATGCAAGGACAAAAACCGAAGCAATTAATTGTAATGTTTTTTTACCATATTCGTTTTCACAATTGCAGAAAGAATTAGATAAATGCACATTTTATGTCCATATATTGTGATGCTTTCAACCACAAAGACATAAAATTATTTCTCAGAATTGTTAGATTTTTTGATCCAGAAACAGGAATTAAAATTACAATATTAGATTTTGCTTCATTGCCAGGTGAAACTTTTTTCCCCCTAATGGCAGATTTGTGAACAGTTACAGTTGTGTAACAGAGTCCATTAATCTATAACTAAGGCCAGATGTGGTGGTCTTTTTATTATAGAGGCACCTAATAGGTGAGCCACCATTGCCTCCTATGAAGGGACAGACAGTTACAACCATGCCTTCTCTGAGATTCGAACCCAGACCCTTCGGTATTGCAGTCAGGCTCCCCTAACCACTATACCATCTGGCCAGGTGAAACTTCATAAATAATTTTTGATACAATAAGTACTATTTTAGAAAAGAATAATTTGAACAATAAAATTATTGCCTAATGTGAGAAAATAATTTTATTGTTGGCACTAACTCAAATTTTGGTGGAAAAGCTAGAAGAGGCATCAATACGTTTTTATAAAACTTAACGAACGTTTGAACTAAAAGATTATTCGAGTAGGTTGTGCAGTGCACATTCTACATAATACTATTCAAACAGCATCTGACATACTTCCAGTGGATGTTGAAAATATTATTTGAAAAATTTATTTATTATATTTACTGTGAATGTCGAAAGTTTGAAGGATTTTTGTGAAAGCACAGAAATCGAATATAAAAGAGTTATTGGTTACAGCAAAACCAATGGGCTAGCTCTTTTTCTAGCTGTAGAAAATATTTAAAAATAATTAAAATCATACTTTTTATCACAAGATAAATGTCCAAGAATAGTGCAGCTCTTTATTGAAAATGACACATCATAAATTTGGCATCAGTTCATCCACAACAAGCTACGTTATTTCACAGTGCTGTGAAAATTTTTGAAGGGGACAAAATTTCAATTACGGAAGTGTCAAATAAAATCAATAATTTAAAAACAAAACTACGAGAAAGAATTGATAATGATTACGTTCCTTTAGTTATTCGAAAGGACATTACTAGGCTGGAAGAACAAGGTGCCATATTAAACGACCTGATTTTCTGAAAGAAGTCAGAAATTTTTATAATATAATAACTGCTGGGAATATCTTGATGAACAGACTGTTCAATTCGAGGATATTAAAAATTTCCATTTGGTGACATTAAAAAAGGAGATTTTATGGGAATATGTGAAAAAATCTTTTTCATATATTAGTAACTATTTTCCTGAAATAATAATATTTGTGAAAATGATCTTTTTGATGAGGTATCATTGGTAAAAAGATACATTACTGATGAAAATATTAAATGTTGGTTTTCTGCAAATGTGGAAACAGACAAAAAGTGGACGGAAGTTATTCCTTCCTTTTAAACAGAATATTCCTTATGAAAATATTTTTTAAATTGTAGAACACACTGCTCTTCCCATTCCAGGAACAAATGCAGCAACAGAACATGTTTTTTCTAATATCAATAAAATATGGAACAACTGAAAAAAATGCAGTTGAACATTAAAACTTTATAATCTGTAGTAAGCCTAAAATATAATTTGATGAATTCATGTGAGAAATTTCATGAACATTTTAATAAATGATTCGAATCTATTGCAAAGTATTCATTCAGAAAAAAAATATAAACTGGAAAAAATCATCAATTTTTTAAAAATAAAATATTAAATTAATTAAAAATAAAAAACATATATTCAATTGTTTTACAAATATTTTTATAGTTACTAATTGTTATAATAAATATATTTTTGTATATTTATAGACCAAGTATATGAATGTATATAATAAAATATATTTTTTTGAATTATTCGTCTGCTTTGTCTCAATGAAAATGTGGTCACTTTATATTAGTGTATGATTATTATTCACATACATAATCATTTTCATGTGCCATTTTTTTATATTAGTGTATGATTAATTTACACTAAATTTACTTTTTTAAACTTTCTTTAGAGCATGGAAATCCTGGAGGACTTCCTGGTCTCTACAGTGGTACAGTTGCAGAATTCACAAAAGCTGATACTGTAATTTTTCGTACAAATTTATATAATTTGACCACTGGAGCTAGTGTTCATCCATTCAAAAGAACTATTAAATATGATTCAAAATGGCTTGACAGTAAGTGATTATTTCCTTGATTTAAAGTGTAAATTAGTTGTACTTTTTTAGATAATAATCTTAAAATATCTTACATTGTCACTCTAGTACAAAGAATTAAATCTGGTTTTTTTTTTTTTTTTTTTTTTGTTTGTTTGTTTGTTTCTGTATAAGGTGTTAACTGATCATGTGGGATAACTATCTTAAGATGTTTCAGTAATTATATTGCTTTTACATTCTCATTATAAAATTGCATTTATTTATTTATTGCAGTCCATTTTCAGAAAGTGATATTTAATGGTTCCAGAATCTCTACTTTTATATATAATTAATAAGAAAAACGATCTTATGTGGACACCACATGACCCCCTTGCATAGTTTATTAAATTATATAAATTTTTTGCTGTGAAAATGAACTAACAGTGCAATCAACTATATACATAATAACTAAAACAGTTATTATGTATATAGTAAATTGCATTGTATTGGAACACTGACACGCAAACAGTTTAAATATGCTAAAGCATTTTTTTTTTAATGTACATATACAGAAAAAACGGCTGTTAAATTTCCCATGTTGAAGTTTCTGAAATTGCAATTTTTTTTTTTTTTTTTCATTCATTTAAAATTGTGTACAGGTCACAGGCATTCATGGATTAAAAAGTCATGGATTACTGGAATTCTGCCATAATATTATTTTACAGACCAATTATTTTATCAAAATTAATGTACGGTTAAAAAATTAGATAATAAGTTGTTCTAAATGTATTTATTATATAAGTAATATATGTAGCAAACAGAAGTGACATTAGTAGACATGTAGCTGACTATAGTTAGATGTGACATTGTTTAAGAAACTTAAGGTTAAAAAAAATTAGATAATAAGTTGCTCTAAATTCTGTATGTAGTTATCAAATAAATATATGTAGCAAATAGAAGTATCATTAGTAAAAATAAACATATAGTAGACTGTAGAAGTGATATTATTATACAGACTGAATATTTAATCAAAAATAATTTAAGGTTTAGTTAATAATTTGCTTTAAACTTTATATATATTTATCATATAAATAATATATGCAGCAGATGTATAAACTTTTGGAAGGGTCATTATTGATAGTAGTAGACTATACTTAGGAGTGATTTTTACCTTAATTACCGATTAATGTGTCATACTTAAATTTTTTTTTTCTTCGTGACAGTTTTCATTGCAAGAGTATACAATTTTTTTTATTATTATTAATAGTGTCTATGTTAAAAGCTTAAATTTTTTTCCTATGTTTGTTCACATTTCCATTTATTTCAGAACCTCATTTTGTGGGATCTTATGATATTGGAGATTATGTATATTTCTTCTTTCGAGAAAGTGCTGTAGAGTACATTAACTGTGGAAAAAACATATATTCTAGAGTTGCAAGAGTTTGTAAAGTATGTATTATTTTTATTTTTTTAACTTCTGAATGTTTTAGTATATTGTTGTTATAGTCTGATATGTTTTAATTTCATTTAGTTTAAATGGATTACCAAATATTTATATAATATATTTTTTTCCCATCCCTTAGCGTGATACTGGAGGTAAAAATATTTTGAACAAAAATTGGGCTTCATTCCTTAAAGCACGTTTAAATTGCTCCATCCCAGGAGAATTTCCATTCTATTTCAATGAAATACGTAAGCTGTTTTGGATATTTTTAAATGAATTTTAAGTTCATTTATTTGACTCTCTAAACCTGTCATTTTAAATATAAGTAATTCTATTAAAATATAAAATTGAGGTCTGAAGTTAATTTATTTATTTTTCTTTGTAGAGCATGTGTATAAGCACCCTGACGATGAAAGGAAATTTTATGCTGTTTTTTCAACTTCTACGTATGTTGAATTTTTTAAATCATTAAACTTCATTTCTGGATTTTTCTCTTCATGTTAAAATCATGATATTCTTAATTATTATTTTAGATTATTCTTTATATTATAATAAAATATTAAATTGTTGTGCATTAGTAATTAATAATAAAATATTCATGCAAATAAATGAATGTTTAACATTTGTCTATCATTTAATAAAACAAATAAAAGACACAATTTTTTTAAACAAATAAATAAGACTTAATAGCAACAAAAAATCTATTTTTATGTGTTGTGTATAAAATTTTACTCAAAAAGGCTAAGTTATTAAATTATTGGATAAGAAGAGCATATTTAGTAAATGGACAAAGTATGTGGAATGTTTTAAAATGTCAGCAAAAACTAAAAGTTGCGTTTAACACTATAATTATTTTGTAATTGCATCTAGCATTGATCTAGTGACATAAATTTTGTTTTTTATTTCTTTCCCGTACTGATTCAGTGGCATAAGTTTTTCATTTCTAATTGTTTTGTATGCATATGTATGTGTAACTATTGTTTTATGGTGTTATTACTTTCACAGAATAATTGTGTATTTCAAGTTATGTAATAAAATGAGAGAGAGATTTTTCTCTTTGTATCACTTTTGAAAGCATTGCAAAAATGAAAAACTAATTTTTTCTGAATTATCATTTTCTCTTTTTTAATGAAATATTTGAAGGACAGATAGAGTGATAACAGGGTTCGTAGCAGTCCTTACAAGTGCTTATAAGTCCTTATATTTGAAAATAAAATATAAAGGCCCTTATAGGTGCTTATTTTTTCTTTAAAGCCCTTATTTTTTTGTTTTTAGTGCTTTTTTTTAATAAATGCACATTTTTTTCCCGTACCAAAGCCGAAACTAAATAAACAACTTTTCTTCCTTATATGCAACATCAGATGGTGAATCATACTCCCAGAAATTGCTTTCCCCCCCTTTCTCTGCATTAATGTAACCTATGGTGCGTGCGAGAGTACAGACAGGTGCACGTCGTTCTATTGGTAAAAGAATTGCGAAAACGGTCGAAAATTCCGGTACATTCGGTATTCTTTTCCTCCCACCCAAATACTACACACGTTTGGATTTCTATCAAGATTTTAATAATTTGCATTTTTGTTCCGTGTGTTCAGTTCATATTCGTGTTTATTATGATCGTTATGCTTTTATTATGAGCATATGCATGAATATTTATAATATATAGTTGCAGTAACTGCTGAAGCATAGATAAACTTCCAAAATGGGTGTGCTTTTACACAGATTAGATTTCTAAGGAATAATATTCGGAATGGCTTAAATAAAAGGAAAGTAATCGAATAGTCAAAATATTTTTTTCTTTTTTGCCTATACATTACACAGTACGGAGGTTGATAGGTTTTCCCCTTTCTTCGCAAAATCTCTAGTATTGAAGCAGCAGACTTTTTTTTTTTTGGTCACTGTCCAATCTGGATTGAATAGGACTAAAAGTTTTTGCGGTCTACCCAACCCAAGGGAAAATTGATTCTATTCCGAAAATTTAACGCACTCTGTTGAAAATTAGAATCGGAAACACCCCAGATTAGTAAGTCTCTTTCTTTTCCTTTATTTAGTTCTTTATTCTCCGAATACCGACAGCTGTTGATTCAGATTGCGTAATATCACATGTGAACATGGACCTTATAAGAGATAGACTAACCCAGTGGGTGGAGCGCGCGTCACCGACATGTTAGCAAGAAAGAGTAGGGACGATCTGGTTTACTTTAACACTGAAACCTATGGCGTTTGTATCACATAACTCTTTTTAATTATTAAATGTGATACGTTGTATAGTGATGAGATTATAAAAGCCACAGTTTTTTCCAACTTTTTTTTTTTTTTTTTTTTTACGTGTAACTCTTGTACAAACATCTTTACTTTGGTAAAACGGTAAAAACTCTAAGCACAAAATTTATGAACTTAATTTTGCGTAAAAATAAAGTAAAATTAAATAAGATTGATAGTATGCGATGCTTTGAAATAAATAAGGTAAAATTAAACAAGATCTAATAATTTTTTTTTTTTTTAATTTAATGAACAATTTCAGGCAGTTATTTTCCAAACTGTAGTAACATTACAAAACAATCATTTATTTGATTATATGATCATTAAATTATTGGCAGTAAAGTGAATTAGTTATTTTAATAATTCATAAAATTCGGAGCATAAAATTTTCTGAGTGTAATGAAGGAAAAAAAATAAAATCTAGAAGAACTCAGATTTTATATTACGCCCAAAAAGGAACCTTTTTTTTTAAAGTTTTGTGTGTTACCTATATTTAATGAATATCATGTTCTTTGCCCGTAAACCACATACATTTGAAAACAGCATATCTTTAGAATTTCCGTGCTAGAGATAAAACTGTTATTTTCCGTACAGTGCTCGCTCTGAACTCGTTGAGTTTGTTAATCAAAAATTCTTTAAAGTTTTACAAAATATGAAACAGATTAAAACAAATTCGATTCGAAATTCGTTCGTCCGTCCAGATGCCCATGTTCGGGTGAGGATGATTATTACATTATTCAAAATTTGATGGCTCTAGATACTGTCGTTTTTGTCACAGTGCAAGAAACATACATGTATTCATGCAGATTCTTCATTATTTAATTTCTTTACATATAATACAGGGCGATAATATTTGGTAACAACAATTTGCAAGGAGACACGGACAGTTATAGTAAAACAGCGCAAAATGCCGCTTCGAAACTAACAGCCTTTCTAGGCTACTGTCCCTTTGGGCTAATAAATTAAATTAACTGTAAATAAAAAAATCTTATGAAGAACTAAAAATAAATTAAAAAAATAATCATTATAAATTACAAGAAAAATTAATTATTCTGGTTAAATACAATTTTAATATTAGAATTAAATGTATAAATATTTTTAAGGAGTCAAACATGTTTATCACTATGATGTATTATGAAATATAATTAAAATAAAATTCCTTTGTAGAAATTGTGCTATAATACTCATCTATAATTTTAAAAAAGCAGCACGATTTAGAATTTTAAACACAATTTTCAAAAATTCGTTTTTAAATATTTTAGTATTTTTTACTTATTTACATCAATAAAAAGCATAAAAATTGCAAGAGAAAAGTGCTTGTTTGAAAGTTTCTATTAGTTCAGATTTAAAATATTATTTTCTAAAAGAAGTAGTTACAAATTTCCTCACAGCATAGGAAAAGCTAAAAAAATATCCAGTCCTGAAAGCATGCGATAGCTTTATAATTATTTGGAACGTTAATTATGCTTGATAAATATGCTAAATTTTTAAAAATCAATCTCAATTTGAAAAATAAAAGTATGTAGAAATTCTAATTGTGAAATGAGGCACTACAACCAGCTTTTTCTTGACAATTATACACGCTGCAATAGGCAACCAGTGTTAAATTTCTGCAAATCGTCCCTACTCCTCCGGATGTGATCAAGGTGACAGCCGGGAACACCTCAGACGAGGGAGAAAACCCGTTTCGGTTAGTCTATTTCTTATAAGGTCCATGCATGTGAAAGTATTATGCCGCACGTATTGCTCAATAATGTTTGTGGTGTTTTGCAGAGATAATTAATTTTGATGTTCAGTCTGAGATTTGTTTATGAACACTTAAAAGAGTTTTACTGTGCTTTCTAAGCAGAATATTTTTGAGTTCCGAATGGTCTATTTTTATATGATGCACATATCAAAATGTCAGAATCATTTATTTAGCCGAGAAATCTAAAGAACGGCTACAATCTCGCCCACTGCTCTTTTTCCAGTTACTATCTGGAATAATCAGCAATTTCTGAGTATGCGGGTTAGTTAAGCTTTTACTGTTAAAGGATGACTGCTTGAAACAATTTCTCGTCTTCTGATTTCAGAAATGTGTCTCTTTTTAACTTAAATTACTTTGCTTGGAATATATGTTAAAGGAAAACTGTTATGCAATGAAAATTTAGAAAATGTTCAGAATTTTGATTTAAGTTAAATTACTCATATTTAAATATTAATATGAGTGGAAAAATAAATTGTATTTATTATTAGGTGCCAAACGAATACAATTAATATGGCTTATTATTTATTTTCTATATTTTGAACTGACATTTCATCATTAAATCTTGTAAATATAGTTTAGTTCTGCATAGTTTTTTTTTCTCTCATTGTAAACTAATTCTGCAATGTTGTGCAATTCTATTTAGAATATATTTAATCTTCTAAATAGAATTGCACAACAAATGTCATTAACTTTTCAGTAATGCTTCCAGTTTAAGTTTTGATATTTAATTAAATATGGCTAGAACTGGAACTGAATTTCTTCAGTTTTCTACAGTTTTTTGTACTCAGAATGCTCTTTATAGTTCAGTCTATTTCTGTTGAGTTATGGATCTCACTTACATGTTTGGTAGATATACTGCAAATTAAAAAAAATCCTGAAAAAAATTATTGCAAATGTAAGGAATTTTTATATGCTTGCAGATTAATGCATTAATATTCCTAAAAGATAATTATTGAAGCATAAACCGAAATTTCAGGAATTTTAATTTGAAGTGTTCATGTTTGATGGTAGTAATATTTTTGTTTCACATACCACTTTATTATTATTATTAAAAAGTATTAATTTTATCAAAATAATTTTCTTTGATTTTGAAACCCATAACAAAAAGAAAAAAACAAAGGTTATGAAAAAAAAAAAATTCCTCAAAATAAAATCTTATCAATTTATTCAACTGAAAGGAGAAATAAAGTTATACAGAATTAAAATTGTTAACCTCTTGCTATGAGATTCTTAATTCTTATTTTCATTAAAAGATTTTATTTATTTATTAATGGTGCCACTTGTTAAATAGCTGTTATAAATTTACTTGTATTTGTAATAATAATATGTTCCAAATGTATGTATATATCTGTGAAAGAAAGAATTTGCAGTAGATAGGCTCATGTGTTTCCTTGCTGATAATTATAAATTTTTTAATATGAAAATTTACAGAACAATTATTAATGAGAATGGGGAGTGAATCGAGAACTAGGAGTGATGCTGATGTGTAGAGCAGAAAGAATAAAAGGAGCCATGGGATCTGCTGAATCGAACTGCTAACTTTGTATTGGATTCCCTAAAACCTCTTTCACATAGAACTAATATTAAAGCTCTAGAATCAAAAACATTCAAAAATTTTGAGAATGATGAAAATTAAACCCCATTTTTGCCATGGGAGGATATACATTCTTTTCTTCTCTAAAATGGGACTCGAACTTTTAGTGCACTTCCACTCTCTATGGGTCGACTCTGAAAGAACTACCACTCTTTTTGATGACTCACCATTTGCTTATTCAGTAAAGTGAATCGATTCTTTGAATCAGTTTATGGGTGGATGTCTCATCCATCTGTACATAACTTTATGTATTTTATTTTTGATTTTGTCATATTTTATTACATATCTAATTTTTTACATATTTTAAACATTATATAGGAATGGACTGATGGGATCAGCAATATGTAGCTACAGCTTAGATTCCATACAAGAAGTATTTAATGGAAAATTTAAGGAACAAGCTACTTCATCATCTGCGTGGTTGCCAGTGCTTACCAGCAAAGTTCCAGAACCTAGACCAGGTTTGTGTGTCAATGATACACAAACACTTCCAGATTCAGTTTTGAATTTCATACGTGGCCATCCCTTAATGGATTCAGCTGTTTCTCATGATAATGCTAAACCCGTGTATTACAAGAGAGATGTCATATTCACTTGTCTTGTGGTTGACATGATAGAAGTTGATGGAGTACATTATACTGTCTACTATGCAGGTTCAAGTAAGTATTATTATTTGAAGTTGCCTACATAAGTTAAATATAAATTTGATGATAAATTTTATATGAGTAAGGTGTGTTAAAACTACCACTAAAAGCAATATAAACATCATATATGTGTATATGTATTCTCCGTATTAGAAAAAAAAATTATCATCATGGCAGACTTTCTCCGAAACAGGGGACAAAAGAATAAAAGGAAGACACCAAAAAACAACGTTGACTACATGGTACTATGTAGTTTTCAGATACACTCTATAACAAAAAAAGAATCGATTCACTAAGAAGGAGTTGTCCGATGGACACAGAAATTGGCGGATAGCAAGATTATGTGCAGAATAGAAAATGGTTAAAGTTTCAGAACAATGAATGATTTATTTCAGATTTACATAATTACAAAATAACAAGCTCAATAAGGTGTTGACCCAACTCTAACCTGGATACAAGCTGCCACACGACATGGCATAGACTGATAAAGCTCCCAGGTGGTCTCCTGTGGTATTTCTTGCTAAATTTGTTCCAATTGTTGGTCTATTTTCAATTCTCAATTAATTAATATTCCTTCTTCGAAAGCAATTCCCTTCCCTGCTTACTAAGAAGGACCTGTATTAGTTGTCTTGGAAAACAGTAGAGTTTTGTATAAAATTTATTTCGAATTATCAAATATTTGCTATAATTTTTCATCAAAAGCAAATGATTTTTCTTTCCGCTCACAGTTTATGCAGCATTTTTTAGAAATTTTTATACCTTCAAAAAATTTAAATGATGTTTCTTTGTTCAAGTTGCCATCACAGAAACATTTAGGGCCATTTGAAATTGGCCTATTACAGGATGTACCACTGAATTTTTTGACTTTAATTATGTTGCAACATTTCTCAAATATTAAAACGTTTCATATATACATTCTTATGCTTTTTGCAGTTCTGTTATGTAGTTAGTTACCACTTTTGTTTGTTGTACATGGTTCTGGCATATGTTTTCTATGTGTATTCTGAAATTATATCTGTGTTATATATTTTTCATGATATCACTACATATTTATGAATTTAAATACGAAGTATCTGTTATAATAAGAAATTTGATATAATGCCAACCATTTTGTAATTTCAGAGAAAGAATTCCATCTTCTTTTTACATATATTAAGTATGCATTTTTTTATTACAAAAATTATTCTGATTTCTAGTTGTGTGCAAACATTAAAAAAATTTCTCTTTTAGCTCTAGCTTCAAAATAACATAATTTTGTAAAAATAAGAAACATTTAAATTCAGCCATCTGGTGATGCAATATACATCTCATTTCAGCCTTTTTAAATTGAGTATAACATTGTTTTTTAATGTGTATTTCCTTTCTTTCCTCTTTTGAGGTACTCTCTGTAATTTTTTTCTTTTTCTACACTGCTATTAAATGATGAATGATGTAATCATAGACAATAAGTTAATCCCTTTCTGAAACAGGTATTTTTATAAACTTATTTTTGCAGAAAATGTCTTTATGTATATATGTATAAAACACCAGTCTTTTTAATCCCTTAACTGCCGCGGGCGTATATATACGCCTTGCTCAGCCGATGCGTTAACTGCCCCAGATGCGCAGCCGATGCGTTAACTTTGCGAATAATTTTAGGTGTAGCAGCGCAAAGCAAATGATAGCAGTTTGGAAGGACGTATATATACGCCTGGGGCAGTTAACGCATCGGCTGAGCAAGGCGTATATATACGCCCGCGGCAGTTAAGGGGTTAAAAATGCTATCTAAAATTTGTTTATTGGTAGAAATAAGTACACAGAATGAACAAGAAAATTATGCTGTTGGAAGTAAAAATAAAATGTATGATAAATATATATTTAGAGTAAATGATGTATTGATTAAGAAAATGCAGCCAATAATTAAATTTTTTAAAAAAATTAATGAATAATATTTTTTTAATTCTTCACACATAAGTATTATTTTTTAAATAACTTTTAAGTAATTATATATTTTTAAAAATCTTTCTAGCTGAAGGTTATGTCTATAAACTAGTAGAATGGTATGATCGACTTGGTGAAGAGCATTCTAATTTAGTGGATATATTTGAGGCTACAGTACCTGATCCTGTCAGAGCTATTGAAATATCCAGCAAGGTATATCTTTGTTTAATTTGCCATTTGAAATACACCACTCCATGGAGAAAACTGCAATACTGTACAACAGAGATTATGTGTAGAAAATAAATAATGGAAATTTTTTGCTTATTTATTTTCTACACGTCATTGAAATTGTGATGAAGAATGTTAACATAATTTTAGTTTGTTAAACTAATTTAATTTGGGGGAAAAAAAAAAGTTTTAAGACTTTCTCTAAAGTAAATGCCTCTTTTCCCTCATTCTCTTTGTTTGTGCCACAGTAAAAAAAAATTACTTTGAGATAATATTTGTAACATTTTCAAATTGTTTAGTAATGGTTTAACTACAAGCCTACAAACAGCCAGTTTGTTTTAATAATGTATATTGGCAGAAATTCAGCATTATGCAACAGCTGTGGGCTAGACTAAGAGCATAGAAGAAGGCAGTGTGACAACCTAAATTGAGATTCAAGCTGTAAGATAAATATCACAGCATGTAAATTGATCCAGGTGTTATCATTAAGTTATGCACTTTTAATCTACAAATGGTAGCATTCTGTAAGATATATTGAAAAGTTTTAATGATCCTGTATCAACACAGACATTTTTGTCAATTGATGAGGCAGATTTGTTGTCAAGGCCATCATTCTTTGTCAAGCCATCATCATGAATGTACGCAGTGATGTGATCATATATTTAGAGTAAAACTTGCACCAGAACTATTTTAGGTGAGTGGGTTTCAACATGTCTTAGCAATTCTAATTATTAAATGAGTGTTTTAAGTTACATGGCAGTCATGCTTATCTTTCTGTTATTGTTAAGCATCATTCAGCTTGCAATGATGGGACCACAACATCGGTAGCTGGTATCCTCTAATTTAATATAATAAGCATATTAAAAACATGCCAGTATGCTCCTCAGGTGCTGCATTACTACAACTTATGTACCAAATAGCACTTTCCAGTACGAGCGTAGTCCACCCACAACTAACATCAGCAGGTATCCTTCGCATTAGTGTTCAGGTGTTTTCTTGGGCAGTATATTTTCCTGAAATACAGTTAGATCTGTTGCCAGTCAGGAATCTCTGAAACATGTTTGAGTGAATGCTAATCAACATCTTTGCAATAAGGATGACCAGAGAACTGTGATCATTGTCTGAAGATAGAATTTCACTAGTTATTGATTCATTTCCAATACAGAACTGATTCTTATGATTGTATGATCCAAAATAGTGGCCACGATGTTTACTGAGTCCTTATATAGTTTGCCATGGTTTTCTCCATGTGCAATGTGGTTACAAGCCAGTTTCCATAAGAAAATTCTCCAGAAAGCCATTCCTTCCCTTAGTCAGGTAGCTCTTGCATGCTTTGCTATAATGCAAGTTATCCAATCCTATACATTTAGCTATTTGTTAGTTGCAAATGTTTAAAATTAAAATTCACTTTTTCCAGTTACCCCTTCCCCCATTATAAGCAATTTTTTCATGGTATTACAATTTCTTTTTTTGCAGAGAAATGTATATATTTTTTTCAAAACATATTATTCATATAAATATCTAATATGTTAGAAAGAAATATCTTTTGTTATACCTTATTGATACGGTGGTTAGTGACAGGATATTGCATACATTATTTTAAGGATCCCCCCCCCTCATATGAGAAATCAGCTTTATTGAAACATTTTATGTTTGCTTTTGTTTTGTCATAATTTTGTGTGTTAAGTACCTATATATTTAATTAATTTGAATGAAATTTTTTCCCTTGGATTATAGAGATGTTTTTAATTTCTACATTTTTCACTTCTGCATAAAAAAAAGAACTGATATTTTTTTAAATTGTTATTTTACTTTTATGTGTCTTTCCATCTCAAAACTAAAAACTGCTATATTGCACACTTTATTATTGTTTAATGAATTTATGAATTATTAAGATGACAATTATAAGATGACAATAAAGCATTAAGCTTTTTGTAAGTAGTAATAAATGAATTATATAAAGCATTAAATTATGTATAAATAAATGTACAAGTGTTATAATGTTCATAAATTTAATTTTCAGCACAAATCTCTGTACGTCTCTTCTGACTATGTGTTGCGGCAGTTTGATCTTGTTATGTGCAAAGGAAGGTTTGCAAACTGCCTTCGTTGCATTCAAGATCCTTACTGTGGTTGGGATAAAGAACGTGGAGAATGCAAACCATATGTTAGTGGGTATGTATTTCATCCCTCAATAAATTTTGCATGCTGCGCATTAATGTGTAGTAAAGATATTGTTTTAAAAAAATTTATAATTATAATTTGTCATAATTTGTGAAAATAAACAGTTATAAAGAAGAATTCATTAGAAAAGTAATTATAATATAAAAGTGTGTAAGTGTTCTTACTTTCTTTTTTGTTGAGCACAAGCTTATGTAATGAACTTATTTGTTGTTTTCAAACTATTTTGATGTTTTTCCTTAAAATACAATAATAGCAGTTTTTAAATGTTTAATTCTGTAACAAACATATATATATTAACAAAAGTTATCATTCAACTATTGTAGAACAATCTCTGCTGCACATTTTGACATGCTTTTTCAACTGACTGATTGAATAAAACCCAGATTGAGCATCTAATGCTGATAACAGACTAGCTTCATTGTCTTCTTACACAGAATATAGTCATAATTAATCAGTGTGTTTTCTAGGATCCTTTCAAATAATTTATTAATATTTCATCATGTAATGTTTAAATGTGTTATAATTTTCTCATTTATTCCTCATTTTGATTTTTTATGGGGCATTTTTCAATGGTTTCATCATGACAGCTGCTATAATCATTGTAGCATTTGACATCATTGTCAATAGCTAAAATTTCTTCTTCATAATCTTTGCTTGAATCATAATGGCTTCAGATTCATATTCAGTTATTTTTAGCATTTCTGTAATTTAACTTTAAAAATCATAGTAAGAAAACAGTTCTAATTGGTGTCTATTTATTACTTACTAATTATTTGTAGCATATCGTAGCTCTTAATTTAGTTCTAAAATTTATGTCTGAAAAAATTTCTCCAACTTTCTCTAGTATAGCAACTCTAAAATTTTTTATATTCCATGTTCTGTGGGATGAAATAAATTACATAATGCCCAATAGTAGAAATTATTGTTGAATATTTTTCAGATGGCCTAAATTTTGAGAATATATATTGAATCGAGAATCATATAAACTTTCCTTGAACATTTACCACTTTATATCCCACCTATGCAAATGAGTCTCGTAAATTTTGGAAGTCATTACTGAATGAGTAGGCTTTCAGTTCTCAGTGCAGTAAGCAAGAACAAAAATAAACAAGACTGATTGTATCAGTTTTTTACTCGCTAATTTAGCTTTTGTGTAATAGTATGAATGGCTTTTTTATAAGATATTGTTTATTTTGAATTAGGAAAAGGATGCTTTACATTCAACCTGATTATTTTTTGTTATTAATTCTATAAAACATTTATAAAAAATAATAGGGCTCAGTTTTCTAACCAAGACAGAATTCTTTCAGAAAATTATAAAGAATTCATAATATTAACTTAAGGGAACAAAAAATAAAGTCTCGATATTAAAAAAAGTATACAATTTTTTAATTATTGATAAAGCTTAATGGGGATGATAAAAATAATACACAGAAATGAATACAATGGCTTTGTAAACAAGCATTCCTCGATTCTGTTCTGCTAAAGATCTGCACATGCATTCCCTTATGGAACAAACAACAGGAACCTATTGTAGGTAAACCAACAGGAATAAGTTTATGGAACAAACAACAGGAACTAGATAGAATTATGGAACAGGTTTAGTTGTGTGGTTTCTTCTTCTTCTGTTCTTCGTCTGTTTCTGAGATTCTAATATTTCCTATTTTTCCTTCTGGATTCTGAATATCTTCTGTTTTGCTTCTTTCTTTTCCCATGATAAATTTGGAAATCAGTAGAATTTTAAAAGCTTGGTTATTTCTACGGCTTCTTTTATATGCATTTTTATGCTGAATCAGAATTCAAATTATGTGGTATCAGTACTCTTTTAATATGAAGAATTTATAGTTTCTCTACTTTATTTGTGTAATAGTACCATTTTAATGAGTCATTGGTAAATAGATTTTATAATCATAGAAGTTACGATGTTATTAATCTTTCAACCTGATTATTAGATTTTCATTAAATGATGTTTCATGTTTTTATTATACAACAATCTTTGAACTCCTTTGAAGTGAATGTCATTCCTCTGTCAGAATTTATGTAAAATGGGTTTCCAATCAAAGATTTCTGTAATTCTAATTTGGCTATCACTTCAGCTTTAAAAGCTTTTTTAATTTAATACAGTTATGTTATTTTAAAGTGACAGTTATTTTAAAGAATGTTTTATGTAAAGTAACCATTTGAAGCTCATAATGTAGTCTCAAAAACTTAAAATAAGTTTTTTTTTTTTTTTTTTAAATTTTTTTTATTACTGTCTTCTCAATAATTAGCTAAATTTTGCTATTAAAATTACCCAAAGAAACTACAAAACCTGATAGTTTGGTTAAAAGAAATAATAGCGAAATTAAAATCAAAAAGAGACTTCTGTGGTAACATATAATTCGGAATCATTGAGAACATCAATGCATGTTAAATCATTTTTTGGAGTCAAACCTGATGTCTCAATTAAATAAGATATTACAGAACATCCTGATCACTCTTATTTCTTTTGGTTAGAGTTTTGAGATTTATTGTGCATAAATAGCTTCTCTAACAATTGTCTAGCTTTATGAGCTGGAATTGTCTGTATTAACTTTAAATATGCTTTTTTATTGAAAATTAATATGCTTCTGCTTATTTTAGATTACTGCAAGATGTAACGAATGCAACTCCTGGAATCTGTGATAACTGTAAGTTTGATATTTCTCCCATAAAAGACTTCTTTACTTGTAATGTTACTTTTCTTATTTTATAATTTCTTGGAATAAACAAAAGTAGTGAATACTTTCCACTATTTATGTTTTGATATTTTGTATTCAAAGTGTTCTGGTGGTTTATAGAAGTGTGTATAAAAATGCATATAAATGAAATTTAAATATTTCCTTTTGAATTCAAAAGTTACTTGCACAGTAAATCTAACATTTGGATTAATATTGAAATTAAATTTGTTATAAGGTCTTGGAAATATGAGAGAAGTTAAAATTGACATACCAGGATGCCAAAATATATTATATATGATCCATTCTAGAAAATGAGTGGAAGAAAATTAAAAACAGAATTTTTTATTTACATTTTATTTTTTATAGGCAGGATTTTAGATATTTCACTAGAAATAGAATATAAATTATTTATATTCTGGGGGAAGGCATTAAATTTTCTTTTTTATAGTCTTCATTCATTCTGTTGTTTTTGTAGTAATATGAAATTATTGCATTTGATTTATAAAGCAGAATAATTTTAGCATTCTCATGTATTTATTATCTTGAAGGTATATTAATGTGTAATAAATAATATCTTTAGAGATCATAATTTAGTGAAAAATATTCTTATTTGTATTTTCAGGTGTGAAAAACAAACCGCTTCATGTATTTTGGGGTCAAAGTGTTCATCTTTCTTGTGCCATTCACATGCCAGACATCGAGAGCATGGGCATGGGTCCTTTGCGGTGGTTTCATTACAGTAGAGAAAAAGGCAAATATGCTGTGGTGCATCGACGAGAAAAGTACATCCACACTGCTGACCATGGGCTTGTTATTCTGTCTGTGTCAGAGAGAGATGCTGGGCGATATGATTGCAAATTAGGAACTAGCACATTATGCAGTTTCAATATCACTGTTGATACTAGTAAGTCTCATTTGATAATTTTATGGCAGAAAGGGAAACAAAGCTCTTAACTTTGATAACTCTTTAAAGCACCAGAAGAACATTAATAAATATTTTATCCATTTCTTGTAAACAAAAGTAGATATTTATTATCTTCAAAATGATTAGCATGTAAAATCATCATTTAGAAAAATTATTGTAATGATTGTGCCCTGTTGTAATTAACCCTTTAAAATCAAAATTTGCATTATTATTGGAAGTTCTTGCCGTATAGTTTTACGTTCTCTCTGCGCAGAACAGGTACCTCAGGATCAGTTATAATTTTTTTTTTAATTTGAAAACATTCTTAATTTTCATAATTTTCAGCATTTATATTCATAATTTTTATTCATAATTTTCAGCATTTATATTTAATTTTGTGCATTCATAATTTTATTAAAGAATTATTGTGTACTCCTATGCATACTCTCTTGGTATAAATGGTTAGCCTGTCAACCTGCATATTAGAAGATTCACAGCTTAAACCTTGATGATGAGATAGTTGATTTCTCATGTTTCTCATTATTCATTTAACTGTTATATTTAGCAAGAATGATATATACATGTTGAGGTACGCGCAAGTAGCACGTGTCTACAAAAATATAGATAACATTAGTTAGAAAAGCAGCAATTGTAATTGAGATAGGCATATACAATTAAGAAGGAGATTTAATAAGGAGAATTAACATAGATATATAATAATGGCTTAAGAAAGAGTACAGTCCCAACACAGATGTGGGTGTCGAAGTTTACATATCACGTTGAAGGCACACGACTGAAGTAGTTATACAGACGCACACAGACTGAAGTCATTTCTCAGAACTGCTGGGGAAAACTCGTCTCTCCCAATCAGCCCGTAGGGGTTCCTGATGCTAAAGCAAAGTTTAAAGTTTAAAAAAAATTAAACATTTAGCAGTAGTAGCAATAAAAGCTCCCTGAGATATTATGTTATGCAGACATTGAAGACAATAAAAAGGTTTTGAACTTAACCAATTTATTAACAATATAATAAAGAATAAAAACACAGAAAATAAATTTCAACAATATCAGAGTCTTAGGAAAAATATAATATAACCATCATTAATCAAATAATATTTTTACCTGGTCTCCAAAACACTGGCATTCAATACAAACAAAAATGTCCTAAACATTAATTATGCGGCCTAAAAATGAAGTTGGCTACACATTCAAAACGTCCATGATCAATGTTTGAGAAAACACTTGAAAATTTAAATGAAGTTCTTGAAAGCACTTAAAACCGGCCTAACTCCGTTTGCACGAGGAATCGCCGCTCACGTGTTTTAAATGCCGCCTTCATTGAAGAACATGGATGCCGCCCACGGCAGTCACTCACATGGTAGCCTCTGGAACCAAGGAACTTGGTAGCCTTTGGAACCTGGAACAATAATCTTGTGGACATGAACCAAGGAATCCCATTCCGGAACAACACCATCCCGCGGACAGGCACCAAGGAACTTTATTCAGGAACAGCGATCCCGCAAACCGGAACCAAGGCACTTTAATCACCGGACTGCATGCATCCTTCTGAAGGGGCTGGAAACCGCTCACTTAAGTGCCAGGAAAGCAGAATCTAGAAGGGGGAGGACTGAGCCAGAGCGACGCGAGATACTTATACCTAGAAGTAGGAATGACGTCATCTCACGGCAACCAATCAGCTATCGGCACGAATCGACTTTCCAAATGACGTAACATCACGTTTCGTTTTTGCATCTCAATTAGGTTGAAACAGTCCGTTCTCAACGCAAACAGTGGCAGTAAGAAAAAGAAGTAGAAGTAACTACTATATTACATTAAAATAAGAACTAAACTAAATAAACATTTCATGGAGGAGAGATGATGTAAAAGGTTTACAATAAGTTATATTTTCCAACAGTTCTAAACAGGTTTACTGTCTTTGTTTGCTGTTTTGTCAATTGGCAGTTTTCTCTAGAGTTTTTGAGTCTGTATCGCCTCTTTGGTGCTGCCGCTGCATACTCTCTCTGCAGTGTCAACGAAATGTGACATACCGATGCGGGAGTCGAATTTATCGTCCAGAATGAGTGATACAAATTTCCGAAGGTTTTTTTTCATGCTTTTTGAAACAAGTTGAGAAGAACCCATGGTTACAAAAGCAGGTTTCAGTTATATCTATGGAGATCGTTTGCTTAGTCCGTTTTATTTTGAAATCAAACATTTTATCTTCTCTTTCTAGCACTTTAAATGGTCCATCATAAGGAGCTTGGAGTAGTTTTCTAACTCTGTCATGTCGAACAAACACATGTGGACTTGTGAAGGCGTGGATGAACAAAACAGGTTCGCTGGCTATGGCTAGAAGTCGTGGTCGGGCAGACACTAGCAAGATTTTAAATGCTCCACGAACTGTTTGGGGACGCATCCGGAGGTGTCGGATTGAAAAATTCTCCTGGGAGACGGATAGTCTTTCCATACACCAGTTCAGAAGTGGTTGCTCCTAAGTCCTCCTTGAATGCGGAGTGGAAACCCATCAGGAGTGTTGGAAGGGCCACCATTCAGTGACTGGTATCATACGCTTTTAAGGCAGCTTTCAATGGACGGTGAAATTCCTCTATTCGCCTGTAGATAGTACAGAGATGTCTTGATTCTCTTGATTCCCAATAATTGGGAAAGAGCTTGAAATAAGCCGCTTTCAAACTTTCACCCTTGGTCGTTAGTAATAACAGTTGGACAAGCAAATCGAGTAATCCAGTGGTCATAGAAAGCCTGTGCTATTGTGCATGCAGTTATGTCTGGTATGGGTGCTGCTTCGGGCCATCTAGTAAACCTGTCTATCTTAGTTAAACAGTAATAATTATTTTGAGAAGGAGGTAGCATACCAATCAGGTCAAAGTGGACGTGATCAAATCTCTGTTATTGATCTGAAAACTTCATTAACGGGTTTCTAGTATGTCTGCTTACTTTTGCTTTCTGGCATGGAATGCACAGAGCGCCTAATTTACACAATCTTTACAGATGGAACAAAGATAAGGAAAAAAATTTGACCACATACCTGTAAATCCTCCTTAACAGTGTGATAAACCACGTGTAATCTGTATGATAACATGAGAAGGAAATTAAAGGAAATAAATAGGATGGACCATTCATCACTCATAAAAAAGAGCATTCTCTTCAAAATAAGGCATATTTTTAGCTTTATAACAAAGATTGAGACAGATAGCCATTAGGAATCTGAAATAGAAGGAGCAAGAGTAGAGTCACCAGTGAGGTACACGCAAGTAACACGTGCTTACAAAAGTATAGATAACATTACTTAGGAACGTAGCAATTGTAATTGAGATAGGCATATACCATTAAGAAGGAGATTTAATAAGGAGAATTAACATAGATACATAATAATGGCTTAAGAAAGAGTACAGTCCCAACACAGACATGGGTGCCGAAGTTTACATAGCACGTTGAAGGCACACAACTGAAGTAGTTACACAGACTGAAGTCATTACTCAGAACTGCCAGGGAAAACTCATCTCTTCCTGTCAGCCTGTAGGGTTGCCAAACAGGTTTGCTGTTTCACCAAATGGTGGTTTTCTCTAGAGTTTTTGAGTCTGTATCACGTGTTTGGTGCTGTTACTGCAATATTTTGCAGTCAATTAATTTTATAACTAAGGTTTGTTTTTTTACCCTTCTTTTCTAAGAATTATTTTGTGATTTTTCAGAAACTTGCAGTGCTCCATCAGAGGCAGAATATCGAAAAATTTATTCAGATTGGTGCCATGAATTTGAGAAATATAAAATGGCTATGAAGACATGGCAAAATAAACAAGCAGTAAGTTGAACTTTTTGAATATTAAATTAAAATGTTTATTAAACATTACACCAATTGAATCTTCAGTAAGAAGGATTTTCATGTTCTTTATTAAAATATAATAACCAATAAATATTAGGTAGTTTAGATTTAAGCAGATATTATTACTGTTTATACTATTTTTTATTGTATGTTTAGTGGTACTAGTTGTTACTATATTGTTTATTTTACTGTATTTACTCATGTTTATTTTCACATTTTAGAGCTTGTCTTCCATGTAAAAAGAAAATTTATTCTGGAATTGAGTTAAAATCGTCTGCATTCGCAATTGTTTAAGACTTTCTATGTATGTCTATGTATACCTACTTTCTATGTATTTATATTGATTAATCTGCAGTTGCTAATATGAAAAAAATTTCTGTCAGTTCTTTTAACTGAAAGGAACTGAAGTTTTTTGTGATAATTTTGTTGAGATGATATAATTGCTTCTCTTTGCATGTATTCCTCAATATGAGGTTGGAAGAAAATGTGATCTTCTTACTAGACTTTCTGCATATATATTTATTCATGCTCTGGTGAATAAATATCTTTCATGTTAAACAGCTGAAGCATACTATAAGGAAATCATTAGTCAATGTATTGGCAGCAAGAAAGAGATAGTTTTCCAGTAGCAAAAGCCTCTGTGGGATTTTAGGCAGTTAAGCTACAGAGAAGCTTATTAAATCAATCTTATTGCTGTTCTATTTGCCAAGGGGAGCAAGATGCTATAGCCTTGGATATATGTTTGAAGCCCAGAAAAGTCGTGGATGTTTGTAAATGCTGAAGGTCTTTGTTGCATGGGTCACAAAACACTGTTGAGCTGAAAGTCTTCTTGATTGTGGGCAAAAGAGATTGGTGTCCCTTAGATCTTAAGATCTTCATCAAAGTCAAGATGAAACTGGGCAAAGACATACTGTCACCTGTAAGACTGAAGGCTTAGGCCAACAACAGGTACAACCGTTTTTTCTTCTTGGCACAATAAATCTGTGAATGTGGTCCTGTGGTCCATGAATGTGACACAATAAAATTCTGCTATGTTCAGATCAGAATTAGTCACAGTAGGACAACACCTTATTATAACCCCAACCAAAACCTCTTCTTGTTGAAGAATAAACTGGCACACGTGGTTAAAAATGACATAAAATATTTTAAACTGATACACTAAAATGTAAAACCCCCCATGTTTAACCCTCCATGTATCCCGTAATACAAAATCCGCCTCGTAATACGGGTGGCGTGAAAATAGCGTGCAGATGTTTATTTCACCTATTTTCAATACTTATCCTGCTTTTTCTCCATGTAGGCTGAGAATATTGTAATATGATGATTCGTTTTGCACCTACATTGCGCTACAGGTTTATATCATTGTAAAGGTGTACTATTGTTTCTTCACTACCGAACGCGATCGATTTGTCGCTTCTTTCATTGTGGAATGATAAAAAAATAGTAAATATGCTTAGTTCATGGTGTGTCATCTGTATCAGTTTATTCAGGCATGGCAAAAAAAAAAAAAAAGAACTAAAGCCAAAAGTGATTTACAATTATAACAATGGGGGTTGTCGACAGAAGCGATCAGAAGATGTCATACCCGAAAAACTTTGTAAATATTACAAGATAATATTTTTTCATATATTGAATCAATGTTAAATTCGTATATAATATAAAAAAAATATCCAACACAAAAACATCCCTTCTTGATTTTGAGCTAGCTGTGATCGAGGGAATCTTTGACAAATACTCTTCTGCTATATGCTCATCAGTGTAGTCTAGTGATGATATTATGAGCCATTTTGTAAGCCACATACCACCAAATTCTATAAAAAAGGAACCTTGATGGCAATGTGCTGTGTGTTGTTCTAAAAAAGACAACAATAGGAAAAAAAGTATGTAAAAAGACTCGCATTTGGTATGAACAATGTAAAGTTGGATTATATTTAGAGCCATGTTTCAAAGTTTACCACACTTTAAAAAAAAAAAAAAAAAAAAATTGTATTATAATGAGTGAGTAAAAGTAATATTATTAGCTGTACAAATTAGTTAACATGTATATTTGCTCGTCAGGCGGGCCGAAGTGCATCCTAAATAAATAAGCATGTATATTTATCAAAATCAAAAAGATCCTGTGTATTTTTATTCCATGCACGCTAAAATCGCGTGACCCATATTGCATGTTTTTTAAAAATTAAAAAATTTTTAAAAATGAAAAAACTGTTAAAATTTCTGCATAATATTAATTTTGTTTATAAAGATGTGAAAAGTAACATATGAAAGGGAAGGCTGCAATGCAGTTTGGTGGCGATTTCAAGCACTTCCTTAAGTTTTGTGCAATGATTTTGGCGATGTCTTGTTTAGTTTTTGAGTGCCGATGATCAGAAAAGTATTTAATCAAGATGGGGTTGTTTTATTGATGAATTGATTGGCAGAGAGTTTATGGATATTTGCTTTATGTACAATAATTCGTATAGGTAGTTTTCTAGATGTTAAACCTATGTACTAAGTTTCTATTTGTATCCTGATTACGAATCAGGATAATATAGTCACCTGACGTATTTGTTGTACTGATATCTGATTTAACCTCTTGTTCTTATTCCTCACTGATTTTAAATTCAAACTACTAAAAACCTCTGTTGAAAAGAATGACTAACTATATAGTAATAACTTTTGTATACGAAATGAATGTGTCTTTATTAATGTACAGTATTTCTAGATGGAACCAAGATATCAAAAACAACATTTTATCATTAATCCTTTTCTGCTGTTGTTATGTGTATCTTCTTTGATTAAAGATAATGGTAAAAAAAATCTGGCAATGTACACTGCTCAAAAAAAAAAAAAAAAAAAAAAAAAAAAATGGGACAGTGCTATATCTCCCGTTGGGCCGATTGACAAAATTCAAATTGCGTTCTTCATGTCTCGAAAGCGTGACTTAGGATATATATTAGATTTATATATAGCACTATTCTAACATAGGTATTTTGACACAGAATCGGACTTTTTCTGAAATAACATACCAATTTTTTTACATATTTCGATTCTGCAACTCAAATTACGCCTAAATATGAAATTTTATAAAATTTGGAGCAAAATTTACGGAGAAATTCACAAATTTATGTTGGCACTTTTTCAGTTTGCGCCAAGAATAGTTCACTTGGCGAACTTCTTAATATATGGCAACCTAGTTTCCTTTCCCGTAAGAGGGAAAAAAGTCACCATCATTCCTTTTTTCCAAATAATATTCTTTATATTATATTTTTTATTATAACTGTTATTATTTTAAGTAATTTTTCCTTTTTCGAATTTCCTTTTAATTGTTTAAGTTGCATGATTTTTTTCGAATAACTGTTTAAAAATTTCTATTTACCTATTCGAACTGCGTAAATAATGGTGCAGCATTTATTTTTTTCAAATAGTTTTCTTTATATATATTTTTTGTCATAGTTATTATTTTAGGTAATTTTTTAATTTTTATACTTTTATTTTAATTGTTTGTGTTGCATTGCCTCTTCAGATAATTGTTTTAAAATTTTCTATTTATTCCTTCAAACTGAGCATTTTAAATATATTTATTAATATAAATTTTCCAGAATTTGATTTTTTTAATTTTAATTACGTTTCTTTCGGAAGAATACTTGTAACCCAGACTATGATACATTTGAAAACTGCATGTATTAAAAGAGAAAATACAGTAAAGCACAGTTAACACGCCTTTCAATGTTCCATTCAGAAAAGATATATATAAGTAAGAGAGATGAATAACCGACATTTTAACTTAGGATGACCTGCATACACTGCTTTAAACAGTTTTATCATTGTGCCCATTGCTTTACACAATTTTATCCTACATTTGGTTTCTTAAAATGTTGTTCAAATGTTATTAGTCAAATATTTTATTTTTGAAATCGGAAAATCAAATATCATAAGATTAAAAAGTTTTAAATTAAAAAAAAAATACAAATACTAAATTTTACGCAAAAATTTATTTTTTCTTCAGGCATTCTACTTTATTCTTGCTCTTTTTTATTAGGCATTCTGCAAGTATATTAAAAAGTATCCAACTTTTCAAAATATCTTGGTATTTCTGTCAATCATTTTAAATAAAGTTATCGCCTTCCATTTCATAAAGGTCCACAAACAGCCGAGCGGTAGAAAATCGTTGAACACTGGTAGTTCACTCCGGGGTTCGAATCCCGGTAAACGGGGTGGTAGCATAGGCGTTTTCGTGGAGTCTCTCATGTGTGCTGTGTATGCCAGCTGGTTTCCCTTAGAAAGTTCTTCACGAAGTATTTGGTCAGAGCCTTTATCAGTCTTTAGAGGCTAAAGATTTTGAAGGTATGAGATGAAAGGAAAGACTGGTTTCATCAAGAGGTTTTGGTTTATTTAATTATGGCAAAGCACACGAGGGCTATTTGCCTAAGGGGAGGAATGCCTTAGTGGAGGACTTCCTAAGGGAAACTGGCTCGTTACACATGGGGAAAACCACAAAAACGCCCATGCAGCCAGCCCGTTCGCGGGATTCGAACTTCGGACCGAACTACCAGTGTTCAGCGACTTTACCACTCGGCCGCTGTTTCATCAGGAGGGGGGGAAAAAAAGGTCTTTAGGTGACATCCACATACATCACTGGATAAACTCCTGAATCTTCAAATAATTTGACTGAGAAAATCATGGGATTCTCCCATTTATGATACGATATGATGTTCTATAACGTAATTTAAATTTATACAACCATATAGTCTAAAACCAGTCGCTCTTCACTTTAATCTGCAATGATATCATTTTTGTCTTTTCTGTTAACACAAGCTCAATTGATGGTATTTGCTGGTGTACACATCCAAGTGTTTTCTCTTTGAACACCTAAATTCTTTGAAGTATCCTGAAAGTGTATTCAAAAGCGTCCAACTTTTTGAAACATCTTGTTATGTCTGACAGCCAAATTTCCCTGCAAATTTTTGCTTACTTGTCTAATTTTCTTCTTTCCTTCT